GTTAAAAACTCTTTTCAGATCCGTCCAACCTAACATGGGATAATCTGGACTCAACTTAACACTGACTGGAGGCTAAGGATTGTTTGACTTCTTGTTTGAGTAGAAAATCACACTTAATCTTAGACAGGGGCAACTTTGGGCCATGGTACAAACCAACCTAAACGAAACGACACAAAATTCAGCCTAAATGTCACTAAAACTTAAACTTGAACCCAAAAAATGCAACTGGATTTATGAAGATATTTTGGTGGAAGCAACCCATTACTGCTAATAAAATATCTTCTAGTCACTCTTGAACAATCAAACTACAAACCCCTGTTTATCTAAAATAATGGAGCCAAGGGATCATGGCCGGGTCAGTCAAAATAAAAAAAATAAAACACAACATAAAAAAAGAAAAAAATCTATTCATATAATAAGTCTCTAAGACATTAAAGCTTAAATGAAACCCTAATGAACAAAGATCACAAGTGCAACTTGAACCCCTTTACCCAGGTCTACGAAGCTCTCTTGAACCACGCAACACATGGTTGCTGATATGAATCTTTTGGTTGGAGTAGGTTTGATATTCTCTTAGGCTAAGTAGATGTCATTAATATCTTGATCGGGTTATCCAAAATAAAAATAATAACCAAACAATCAAACCAAAACATATTTCATGCTAACTCTATTTTGTAGGGCTGCTGAATATAAACAATGAACATCACCCTAGATTTACTTTGCATTTGATTAGGGTATGCTAATTCTATTTTACGAGGATGGAAAATCAAAACCCATAGGAAAAGGATGAACCTGAACTATTGACAACAAAACAAAATCCTAGGACAGTCTAGGATCTTGACAGCATCATTCATAACCTTCAAGCATCCACTACCCTTACGATAAGACTTTAGAACTCCTTCCTTGAATATAGCGATATTTGAATTCTCTGTGGATGAGTCACAACCTTAATCAAGAGTTTTCTTAAGCAACCCCAATTGTTTAAGATGTAATTAAATATAGGTGTTTCCTCATATAGAAAGAAGTGAACCCAAGTACAAGTACAATCTGAATCTCTGGTTGTGGGTTTTCTTTCGTTAGGTCTTCTTCTTGAGTATGCCTCCGAGGTGTTTTAAACCATTATGCTTCAGAGCTATCCATGCAAGATCCACTTCACAAAAGCTTCCCCACATGTTCCTTTTATTTGTCGGCATCGTTGCAAGTCTTAGCCCTTCGATATCTTGCATCTTTAGATCATCCACATGATCAGAGAGAGAGTTATTTGGAGACAAAGTGCTATACAACAAAAGACAAGCTGGAAACTCCATGACAACAAAATGACATTGACATCTCAACATCAAGGCGAGCGGCTGCGACAGCGATCACTCCTACCTTGTTAGAATGAAGCTCTCCTTTTACAAAGGAGAATTGAAGATTTTTTTCTTCCTCAAGTGGGATGAAGCTCTCCTTTTTCACAAGGAGGTGTTTTTTTCCTTGATGAAGTATCTTCAAGACATCCCTCACACTCTCCTCTAAAGGATGGTGAGGAATAAAATAAAATCTAGAAAAAAATTTAAAGTATTACAAGAATGGAAGAAGATGAAAACCCCTCTTGCTCTAGAATTCTCCACTAAGCTCTTCTCCTCACTAAGAACTCTTTTCCTTAGCTCTTTTCTGCAGCCTCCTTTGTAAATGTGACCCCACATCCATTCAAATAGTTGGCTTGGAAGAAATGGGAATGGAGGGTAAGGCTTTTTAAAGAGTTCAAACTCTTTGACCGAAGGTTCACCCAAAATAAACTCTTCATAAGGCATATGATTGGCTCATATTCATAGTAGATAGCTAAGTGCTTTCATTAAAACTTTGTACCCATTTCCCAAGCTCAAGCTTTGGCTTTAATGGATCAAAATGGTTAAAATAATCCCAAAAATTGGAACCTGACACCCAACTCTCTATCTTCCGATGCGTGTTTGACACAGGTGCGTTGTGTATGTGCCTTAGAAATAAAGGCGTGGTTGCGCTTGGGGAGGCGCGAATGTGCTAAGGTTAATGCGGGAGTGCCTAAATTTGGTTGGTAGCTCGGGTGCGCCAATTACCAATTAGCAAAGGCGCAGGCATGTTGGCCTTCTGGCACGAGCGCGCTGGGGCCAAAATATGTTGTTTTGAAATATTTGCCACGTTTATTGGTTCATGTGTGAAACCATAGCAACATTGATGTACTTCTTAGGCAAAAATTGATGTTCCGGACGCTCACGTGTGTTTCGTTTTGTCATTCGAGATCATCCAAATTTGCCAAAAATCGAGCCAATTTGAGCATGATCGTACGCGAAGTGACTTTGTCGATGTTTTGAGTGACGGGAATATGTGTATTAGAAAATTCGATTTCAAAATATCAAAAACATGTACCAAAAATTGATGTCAACAAGTACCGCAAGATTTCATTCATGCTATTTTTATTGGGTAATTAAAAATTATAAACATTCTAGTGTTTCTTTTTTTCCCCCTCTATGTTGCATGGCAATTTTTTAAGACATTGTTATACTTATAAGAGATTTAAAGATTGCTTTAATATAATCTTCAAAAAGATGGAAGAAACTTTGTCCACTATAACCGAAGAAAAAAAAAAATGAAAAAACACTATTACCAAATAATCTCTAATATGGAAAGAAAATTTACCTACTTGATATCCCAATTCTCACTCAACGAAGAACAGCTACACCATTTGCATCCATTATAATTATACTCACCATGTAAAGTCTTAACGATTTAATTGCTAATCCCATTTAAATTAGTTGAAAGATCACAAATCAATTTTCTTGGTTTAGACCATTTCACTTTTTAATGAATGAAAAAGTTAAGAACTCAATTCCAACATAAAGGGGGTGGATTTTAAGAACTTTTGAATTCACTATAAAGGCCAGATGGTTTGCCTCTTCTATATGATAAAATTATATAAATTTAAACAGAAGGTTAATATCAATCAATATCTTTTAACAGTAATTGAAATTTGCTTTTTATTATTATGTGTGTTAATTGTCGAAATAATTATTTTTTGTATTGAATACGTTATATTGGACATAAATGTATTTTAATATTTATAAAAAAGAATTTAAGTTATATAGAGAATGTAAGATTGTATCATGAGTTGATCGAACATATGGAAGTTAAGGATAGTTTCAGAACAACCAAATCATTTAAAAAAATAAAAGATATTGACCAAGCAATAACCACTAAGCAAATAAAAAAAACTGAGCCAATTGATGCTCATGTAAAGCAAGTCTCTTAGATTTTAATAACAAAACGTGTTGCAAATACCTAATTCCTCTACTTGCACTTTTTATGAGATGTTGTTAGTTAACATCTTTCTGTTTCAAAAAGCATCATCAACCCAATCCACATTAAATAAGAAGCTTGAATGTTGTGTGTCATGGTAACTCAAGCCATTTCTATTTCAGTGGAACCAAATTTTTCCCACTTTTATTTTGGTGGGATCAAATATTTACATTGGGAATTCAAATTGTTCATCCTCTAAACTTTGACAAAGGGTTATATATTATACTTTCGAATGTAAAAAAGGACTAATTATGAATGAGATGAAATCATGGCGGCTAAGAATCCTTGCTCTTTGTAGTAGTAGATAATTTTTGTTGCTTTTGTTGTTACAAAGATATTATACTCTTCATCTTTATTTTCTAAACTTTGGCTATTAGCTCAATGTCAATGGGTCTCAACTTCCATCCTTTTAAAGGGCCTTAAACCACTTCTATTATTGACCAATCACTACAAATCATAACCATTATTCACGAGTTTATACTTTCTAGTTTTAGATACTCACATATATTATTTATATGCCACGCATGAGATATAGAATCTAATAAAAAAGTTTACATAATTTTACTAGAATATTTAAAAGCACAAGATTTTAATAAATGATTCAATGTCCTAAGCTTATTCTCTAACATTCTATTTGTATGTTGAGATTAAGACACGACACTATAAAAAATGTTACATTTGAGTAATGAATGTAAACTTATATAGAAATATTTATCAAATAGTTGCTCTATACTAATTCAAAAATTATTCTTGTGAAACTTCATTTAGACTTTTTCTAAGTTTAAAATTTTTGCTAGTTGCCCTATATCTCTCGACAAATAACATAGTGAATTGGGCAAGCAACATTGATGACTTTGTGTGGCTTGAACTATTCGGCTTGAGGGAAGAAGAGTCTTTCTTGAATAGTTTTGGCCGACTTGAAATCAGATACAGGTTTAGTATGTGTTTGGCATGTTCCCTGAGTTAATCTTTTTGGCCCGACCTACTAACCAAAGTATTATTTAAACATCAATACCAATCCGAAATGACCTAAGAGGATTTTAGAATGCGAGGCTAATTCATTATATATATAACATTCTAAAATGTAAATCACACCAAAAGGATTTACATTAAAAACATGTATTTTACTTTAGACATATTTATATTAAATTTATATTTTAACCTATTTTATTAAAATATTATAGAAATAATCATAATGATTTAAATAGTTTATCTTAAAATAAATGAGATGGATATCTATTTAGCCATGTCACGTGCAAACTTGACAATTTGATAAAAATAAAAATATGGGTTGAGGTTGCTCTTGATATTAAATTAAGAATTTGAGAAATTTTTAGATAGGAATGTTCGGATAATGTGTAGAAACAAATATTACATTCGGATTCCAGTCATAGAGATATGTTCGGAGTCCAATAAAACCACGCCACGTGAAGGTGACAAAAAAAAAATCGTTTTAGCACATGAGAATATTCTCCCCGTGTTATTCTGCATTACTCAGGTGTTATTATAGTAATATTTATGTATTATTGTGTTCTGAAAATATTACGGGAGGAATATTCTTCAGTATTATGGGAGTGAATTCTAAGAAACAATTTTTTTTTTTTTTTTTGTGTACTTAAAGATTATTCATTAGATTCGAATCTGTATTTTCTTTCTGAAATCCGACGAGGTATTCCGATTTCCAGCATATGAGGAGCGCATCCAAGCTCTTGTCTCCCCATCCTATTCCCCGCCCGTCATCCGCCGGGCTCTTCTTCTCCCGCTGCAAATCCTCCCTGCGACACCCACCCTTAGCCTCCCCTCCTTCCCTTTATCAAATCATTACAGAGATTTTTCCAATTCAAAACAGGGACACGCAAGATGTTTGTCAAAATGTCCCAGCAAGTAATAGCACTTTTCAAACCATTGAAAGAGGAAAGACACGACTGAATGCATGCGCATTGGAAGAAATTAGCTCAGTCGTTCAAAAGGTAACTGAAATAATCCGGTCAGATAACCAGATTCCCTTGGAGCTGCGCTTGAATGAATTGAGAATTGTATTCACTCCTGAGATTGTGGATATGGTGCTGAAGAGGTGCTTCAAAGTAGGCAGTATAGCTCTTAGATTCTTCCACTGGATAAAGCTGCAGCCTGGATTTTGCCACACAACAGAGACTTACAACACCATGGCTTACATTGCAGGTGAAGCTGGTGAATTTGATTTGATGGAGAAGCTGATGGAGGATATGGATGCTGACTTGTGTTTGAAGAACATTAAGACGTGGACAATTCTTATTTCGCATTATGCAAATGCGAAGAAGATTGGTAAAGCTCTGTGGACGTTTGAGGAAATGAGGAAATCTGGATGCAAGATTGATAATAGCGTTTATGAAGCAATTCTTAGGGGGCTTTTCAGTACCAGGAAGGCAGAACTAGCATTTGAGTTCTACAAAGAGATGGTTTTGAAGAAACTGAAAGTTGATATTAAGATTTATGCAATGCTAATGGATTGTCTGTCTATTGCTGGTGATATTGGCAATGTAAGGTTGGTTGCAGAAGATATGATGAAGATTGCAGAGCTGCCGGAAACTGAAGTGTTTACAATCATGATGAGGAGCTTTTGCATTTCTGGGAATGTGGATGAAGCCCAGAAGTTGTTTGAGGAGATGACGGCGAGAAATATGTCTATTGATTCAAATGGTTAAGAGGTGTTAGTGAAAGGCTTGAGTAGAGCTGGAAGGATGGATGAAGTGTAGAGCTGGAAGGATGGATGAAGCCATGGAGATTGTGGGTGATATGAAGCATATTTTGAATGCTGGTAATAGGATTTATGGGTGTTTAATTGATGGATTTTTGAGAAAAGGTAAAGTTCGGAAAGCCTTGGAACTGTTGCATGGTATGCAAGAACATGGCTGTTTACCAATGGTTTCCTCTTATACTCAAGTTCTCCAACATCTTTTCAGATTAGATCAATATGGAAAAGCTTGTCAGATATATGAGGAAATGTTGGAGAATGGCATTGAGTCTGATATTGTGGCAACCACAGCATTGGTTGCTGGTCATGTCCAACATAACAACATCTCTAAAGCATGGAGCGTTTTCAATGACATGAAAAGTAAAGGCATGATGCCTACTTGGAAGGCGTATTCGGTTTTCATTAAAGAACTTTGCAAAGCTTCAAAACCCAATGAAGCTTTTAAGCTACTAATTGAAATGTCTGCTTGTAAGATAAATCCAACTGATCATATTCTCAGGCTGGTTATCAGTTCCTTAACTAGAAATGGTGAAGCGGAGAAAGCAAGAATAGTTGAGCAGCAGTGCAGATCCTTCAAACTCATTCACAGAGAGGGTGAACAATTAAACCATTTAGCTGAGCATCAACCTTTTCGTGAAGGTCGGGAGATTTCAGTCTGTTCGTCTGATCAGAATTTGGTTTGTAGACAGCCACAAAACACATTTGATGTGAACAATGCCGAAGAACTTGTCAGAGTCTTATCGTCATCAACCAATAGTGATCAATTGCTACAAAAACTGGATAGAATTGCAATTACTTTCACACCCGAACGCGTACTGGCAGTTCTGCAAAGATCTCAAATACATGGCTGTGCTGCTTTGCAATTTTTTTCTTGGGTTGGTAAGCAGCCCAATTACAGCCACACCCCTGAAACATATAATATGGCTATCAAAATCTCTGGCAGTGGGGAAGATTTTAAGGAAATGAGAAGCCTTTATCAGGAAATGAGGAGAAGGCATTGCTTGATAGAGCCGAATACATGGACAATCATGATATCTCAATATGGCCAAGCTGGTCTTACAGAAATTGCTTTGAATACTTTCAAGGAAATGAAGGCTGAAGGTTATCAACCAAATGGCGCCACCTTCAAGTTTCTGATTATCTTTCTTTGTGGAAAGAAAGGTCGAAAGTTGGATGAGGCAATCAAATTATTCCAACAAATGCTGTCTTCAGGCTTCATGCCAGATAAAGAGATGGTTGATATTTTTCTTTCTGCCTTATGTGAGTCAGGAAAATTTGCAGAAGCAAGAAGAGCAGTTAATTCTTTATGCAGAAGAGGGTTTAAAAACCAGATTGGTTATTCTCTTCTCATCAAGTCTTTATGCAGGGCAGGGAAAGCTGAAGAAGCTGTTAGTCTAACCAATGAATTTGAAAAGCTTGGATGTAAGGTAGATCAGTACATATATGCAAGCATTGTTCAGGCACTTCTAAGAGATGGCAGATTAGATGCGGCCTTAGATAAGTTGGATGACATGAAAAGAGCTGGAATTCCACAGTCAGTGCAGATAAACACATCATTGATTGCCCATTTTTTCAAGCAGCGGCAGATCAAAAAGGCAATGGAGATATATAAGAAGATGAGAGAAGAAGGTTGTGAGCCAACTGTTATTACGTACTCAGCTTTAATTCGTGGGTACGTGAACATGGGGATGTTCTCAGATGCCTGGAACATCTTCCTTCGTATGAAAGTTAAAGGGCCCTTTCCTGATTTTAAGACTTACTCAATGTTCATGACTTGTCTCTGTAAACAAGGCAGGTCTGAAGATGCATTAAAACTTATTCAAGACATGTTGGAGAGCAAGATCATCCCTAGTGCAATCAATTTTAGGACTGTTTATTATGGATTAAATAGAGAGTGTAAGCAAGATCTAGCTCACATTGTACTTAGGATGAAGTGGAGTTTGAAAAAAGAAAGAATGCATTCAGTATAACAGTACATATTTCATATTTGTGTACATGAATCATTCAATTGCATGGATTAAAATTGAAGCCATCATGTTGAATCCGAAATTGTCGAGGAGGCATGCCTAAGGTATAGAGCATCACAGAGAGAAGAGTAGAGAGAGAGATAGACAGAGCAGTAATGAGTAGTAAAAAATGCATAACGTTTATCCAAGAAATGACCTAGGGGGTATGGAGCTAAGATTACAAGTATGCCCTCTAATCATTAGTTTCCGTGAGGGTTACTTTAGTGCAATATACGTGTATCAAATAGACTTGTAATGTAGGTTCATCTGATTGGTACAATTCTACCAGTTGGTGTGTATAGAAATGATCGTCGCATATCAGTCTGCTCAGTCAGCTCTAGGCCAATCATCCCACCTTTTAGTTGACCGATCTTCAATTCAATCATGCGGGCTTTTTAATGGTCAGAGGTTGATGATCGGTCGGTGAATCCTTCCATTCGCCATCATTATGCTTTACCATTGGATTGCCTCGAGATTTGTACTGTCATATTTTTTGTACACATTTAGTTCTCCTATTTCTTTGCTTTTACAAAGCTATAATGTGAAAAGAGAAAGGTAATATTTTTCTGATATAAAAATATAAAAGCATGAATCCAATTAATGATAACATAACTATTTATAAATGATTTTTTCTAGATTTTCATGCACAAATTGTTATAAATAAACCGTTTAAATACAATTGTCACAGTTACATATGCTACTACCATTGCCCTGAGGCCTACAGGACGTAGAACAGTCAAGTCTCCTCTAGGCCCAAGAGTACTGTCTGTTGTTGTTTATGAGGAGCTATCGAAAAGAAATGTTGGAAAGAGATCGTTTACCACTGTACTTGGTCCGCACCATAGGGAGCACACTTCCTTTCGACGTCCTGATGTCACCACCGAGACACCCCGTCTCAAGGCATCAACATCAAGGAAGAAAGTGTGGATACCTAAGGTTGTCGCACCAATATTTTCAGAAAGGTCGAGTGAGCGTGCCCTTGAAATGGATCATAAGACCAATGCTTCGACCGTTGCCGTTACGACTATTTCAGAGAATGCGATAGACAAGAGCGTTGTTCATGAAAGCCTATCGATCTTATGCTGATTAAAGAGAAAGCTGTTGATGATAAAGTAAGGAAGCTTAGAGCTGAGATTTCAGAATTAGCAAAAGAACGAGGACTAGACATTGGCTATGAGGATTGTGATTTGTCACATTATCTCGATGAGAAATTCATGAAAATCAATGTTGTCAAGACTAGAACCGCGACATCTGCGTGCTATGCTCCACCTTTTGTCGAGGAGAACGCCATGGATGACTTACAAAGGATCATTCAGTTGGGCGACTAGCAAATCAGCCTGATGTAAAAGAGAATGGAGGAGATGGCTGCCACCATGGCCACCATGGCTACAGTGCATAGGCAGTTATAGTCACAACAGATGGCATCTCCGGAAGTGAACCAGCCTGAGATCGTGCACATTACAAATGAAAAGAAAGAAGTTGCTTCCACTAACAAGGACGAACCACAGAAGAAGGATTTAGTTCAAACTTTAATACCGGAAAAGGACATCAAGCAGTTGGTCAAGCAGTAGATAAAGGAGGACTTAGCCCAATATAAAGGAGGTGCATCAATTTCAAAGGGTAGACCTTACTCGGAGGAATTTGATGTCGTGTCATATCTTAAGGGCTTTATACAGTTTACCTTTAAGACTTTCGATGGATCGGGAAACCTCTGACAACACGTTGCACATTTCCGGGCAAGCTGCAACAACACGGGGGGTAATGAAGCATTGTTATTCCATCAATTTGTGAGCAGACTCTCAAAGATTACATTTAACTGGTATCCAGAATTACCCAATGGATCAATCAAGACATTTGAAGTTTTGGAAAACTTGTTTGTGAAAAGATTTGTCGGAGCAAAAGCACCATTTCACCATAAGAAACCTCATAGTCGAGTAACAGAAGTCTAGAGAGACCTTGGTGGACTACATTTTGAGATGAAGGAACTTGAGAATGAAGTGTGAGCCTAAGCTTCAAGAGCAGCATGCAATCAAGATTCTAGTTAAGAGCATCAATGGTTAAGTAGCCTTCATGCTTAAGGAACTTATGATTAAGTCATTTGAAATGTTACTCAGCAAAGCAAGCAATTTACAAGAAAAAAGTTAAGCATATGGAGTCCTTGAAAAAGGCTGAAAAGTCCAGATCAGCTAAGGTGTTTGAAAAGAAGTCCAGAACAGTGGTAACGATTGACAAGGGCAAGCAGCCAATGATGATTTAGGATGATCGGTTTTCTCAGGATTCCCAACAGTCATCACAGCGTGGTTAGTCTCAATAGCAATATGGTCAGCAATATAATCAACCTGGCAAGCAGTTGTTCCAGCAGTGATAGTACAGGACAGATGTAAGGTAGGGTTTATGGATAGCAGACCAGTTGAATAGGGTGTATTCCTTCAAGGAAGAAGTTGTAGCGAAGATGTTCTGGAACTTGATGATGAAACCTGAGTTCAGATTTACTGAGCTAAAGAAGCATAGGAGGTCGACAAGAAGGATCACCCAACTTTTGCCCTTATCACAAATTCTTGAACATACTGTAGAGGGCTGTTTTAGCTTCAAGGATTAGTACGAGAGAAATTTCAAAAATGGAAATATAAAAATTTTGAAAGAATATTTAAAAGAACCTGAAAAAAGTTCTGTAAATATGATTTTGGCATAGCCAATTATTCCGATAGATTTGTATGTAGATAAGGGTGGATGGAGCACAGTTTGGAGTAGATCCTCCAAGAAGATATTGGATCAGATTCAGACTGCTTCAGTGCAAGCCGCAGCTCAGAGTCTACAGCCTACCAAGCCAACACTGGAGAATACGCCAGAGGAGCCACTACAACTGAAAAAGGAGATCTTGGATGAAGTAAGGACTAATAGCATGAAGGGTAGGATAGGGGCTACCCTCGTTACATTTGTTGTCTCGAATTTGGGGGAGAAATCTATCAAATCGCTGACTTTGTACGATTATCTTTTCACCTCTCTGGGGTCTTTTGATTATAAGAGTTGTGATTTCAGCTACATTTTGATTGTTTCTAACGACGATGTAATTGTCCACAACAAATTTAACCCAATTTCAATTCCTGAAATGATCCTCCAATCATACTAAGTTCTGATGGATATGCTAACGAAGATGAAGAAGATGTCAACAATGCCGGTTATGATAGTGTAGGGAGTGAGGAGTCAGTCCTCGAGTGCTAAGAAACATTGATTGCCATCAACTTAGACTTTTTTGATTCAGAATCAACGTCAGGAGAATCAACCGCAACATCAGGCGGACAACCTCTAGGTTCAACTCAGAAGATGGAAGAGATCACTGAAGTGAATCTGATGAGTGTGAAAGTGTTTCCCCCGAGAATGGCTCCAATGGAAAAAGATAAACAAATAGTTACTCGAGAAGATCCATCTCTGTCAATGGAGAAAACACATACTCAGGAGAAAATCAGAGGCTCAAATAAAGCAGATTATAACGTACTAGGTCATCTTAGAAAGTTGCTAGCCAAGCTAAGCATTTACAACGCTCTGATTCTATCAAAGGAGATGAGAGAAGCATTGATCAAGGCTTCACTTGATCAAAAAATTTACTTAGTGCAGGTTGCTAGCACATCCTTGAATGAAGTTTGTTCATTAAAGGAACAACCTCGAGTAACCTTCACCAACGAAGACTTGCTACTTGGTACTGCTAACCACAATTGACCGCTCTACATTTTCATCAACATTAACAAATTTGTACTTTCCAGAGTTTTGGTAGTTCCAGAGGCATCACTCAACTTAATGAGTCTACAAATATTAGCATATTTGGATATCGATGCTCAAGAACTTATCGCCGATAGAATGAGGTTAAGAGAATTTAATCAGAAATGAGAAAGAGAGCTTGGATCGATCACTCTACTCATGAAGGTTGGTGAGCAACAACCACTAAGTTCTCTATCATCGACGCAGAAATCACCTTCAACGTTTTGCTTGGTCGACCGTTGATTCAAGAGCATAATATGGCCCCATCATGGCCACACCAATGCATCAAGTATTACAAAGAAGGGTAAGAACACTGCATCAAGGGAGACTTACAACCTTTCTCAATACATGAGGTAGGCATCCACGAAAATGCCACCTATTATGCTCCTCCAAAGAAGACTGGCTTTTCTCTAGAATTTGTATCGAATAAGATTGAAGATTCAAAAGGATTGCATCAAATGGAACATTTGACTCTGATTCAATGATCTCTCACCGCTCCTTTCCAACGAGTCGGTGGAGGTTCTTTTAGCCCATACTTATGAGATTAAGGCTGGGGATGTGGGTTAGGAAGAATTAGCAGGATTGTTGAACGAAAGATTCCAACCATTAGCATCACATGGAAGGAAACTCTGAAGAAGATAAGTCTGATGAAGATACAATGCAGTAAATAAGAAGAAGTATTGGTTCGAGATCACCTTGGAGGATACAATATGAGTTGATGTATGATCGAATCAACCAGTACGCTCAAGTCATGACCCTAACTCTGGTTCACCCCCATAAGGTTAAGAGTCTTGAGGTCAAGGAAGTTTGGAGTGTTGGTTTGAAACCGATCAAATTTTATCATGCTTCTCCTCCTACTAATTTAGAAACTCATGTAAACTTAGGATAAGATGTTTTTAATGAATTAATGGAATTACTAGTTGGGTATTACTCTCCTTGTGTTTGAAAGATGATTCAACAAGGATATGTGTTGAAGCAAATTCCAAAGGACAAATTACATTTTTTGAGAAATTATGGAATGTTAAAGATCAAGCTCTCAACTCGAAATAAGGTGTTGGAATTGGTATGATAGAATCAGTTGAAGATTCTAAATACTGTATGGTTGTTACTAGCGGGTTGAAAGAGGACAACTTTGATGTTAAGGATGATTATGAAGATTCTCTGATAGATGACACTCAGCCATAATTTGAAGAAGAAATTAAAAAAAATTGTCGACAAATTAGAGGAAGTTAATCTCTGGATTGAGGAGCAGCCCCGACATACCTTCACAAGTTCTCTACTCAATGAGGAAGAGTTTACAAATTTAATCAAGTTACTATCAGAA